GACTATCTTCCTGCCTCAGCCTCCCAGTGCTGGGATTACAGGCATGTCCACCACACCCGGTGAGCAAGCCAGTTTGATGGGTGCTCATTAGATTGCAGCAAGATGCAGCTCCGAGTGGCATCCAGGGCAGGGGCAGGCCAGGCCTACGACAGGGGAGGTCTCTTATCAGAGGGTCTGGAAGAGGTGCTGTGAGGACAGGATCTCTTTGAGAGTGGGAGCCAGGGCGGCCCAGGCCCCAGCTCTTATCCCCCAGTGCCAGGCTGCTCTGGGGACCCATCTGCCCCACCACAAACTCACTTGCTGCTGGGGCTGCACAGCCTCAAGGAGGAGCAGGGGTGGACTGCACCCCCTCTAACCCGCCGCTGAGAAACCCACTGCCCTTCCCAAATACACCCACTGCCATCCCAATGCCGGAGAACCCAACACCAGAGTCCACACACCTGGGGGACCCTGTGGGGCCAGGCTGGGACATCTGATTACGGAAACTCCAGGGAGACGAAGCTCAGAGTCTCCAGCAGCACCAGGGCTGGGCCTGCTTCGTGCGCTCTGGCTCCCCTGCACTCACTCACCAGGATGTTGAGCCAAACCTGTCACCTCCTGCTTTCAGTGACATCAGTGCCCCAAAGCTATTCCTTGCACTCACAGAAAACCCACCCAGACTTGATTTCCCAGTTGTCCCACTTTGCAAAGACCCATGGGTCTGCTCGATGGGTCCCCCACCCACAGTTGTGCTGTGACCTCTGAGGTTCCTCCCTCTGGAAGCCCCAGGATATGTGAGATGCAGCCACCCTGAGGAGGTGAGGCAAACACTCCAACCAGACTGGGGGATGCAGAGCCCAGGTGACCCCCACACCATCACAGATGGAGGGGCTGCAGTTAACCTGGGTGTGTGGGTTGGGCTGAAGTGAAGAACAGGGAGGCAGGAGGGCTCTGGGTCCTCCAGAGCCGGTGGGAAGGCAGCCCTGGCCAGCCTGGCCTGGTGGAGCAGCTGGGCCCAGGGACCTGGAAGGAGCACACTTGGGGCTTAAACTTGGGGTCCCACCTGGAGAGGGAGCCGTGCTGTGGTTTGTAAAGGCCAAGGAACCAGACTACCCGCACATGGCAGGGATGGTGCATGTGTCTGCGAGGGGTGCTTACTGCATGGCTTGGCACTGTGAGGTTCCAGCTGTGGGCTGTGAACCAGGGGGTCTGAGCACTGTGACCCCACCCACCTCCGAACTCTGCAGGCTCCTGGGGGGCGCAGGGTGAGTTCTGTACTTGGAGATGGGCGGCAAGTCTGGTGAGCTTCTGGGTGGCTACAGCAGAGGGAACAAAGAATGCTCCAGCCCTGCCTTCTGATCAGAAGCTTGGGGTGGGGCCTGAGCTTGTCAACACGGTGCCCAGGGGCAGTGACACTGTCCTCCTCACCCATTCAGTCACACCAGGTTGGCCAAGCCAGGGACAGAGGGTGCTGAGATCTGAGGTGAGCAGGAGGCTGCCTGGGCTGATGCCCCAGGAGGGTACTGGTGGGGACTGAGCCCGGGGCCTGTGATACAGGCAAGCGCTCTTCCCGAGCTGGCCCCAGCCCTGGCTTGGAGGCTCTGTGGGAACAGTTGGGGGATCTGAGGTGACTGAGGAACAGCAGCCTGGGCCCAAGGAGGTGGTGTGGTGACATCTTGGAGCAGGACATGGGGGCCTAAGAAACTTGGGCCCCCCAATCCCTTGAGGGAGGTGGCTCGCGTCCCACTGTCCCTTTTACCCATGGTAGAGGGAAGAGCCCGGGACAGGCGGGCAGGGAGAGGACAGAGGCCCTGAGTGGAGGCATGCAGCCACCTAACCCTCGGGACGCAGAGGGCAGGGTTCAGTGACCACCTGAGTCCCAGCACTCAGCCCTCCTGTGGGAGGCCGACAGTCCTAGGGGGCAGGAGGGGAGGGGAGGCCTGCAGAGGGGATGGGGGAGGGGCGGCCATGGGGCTGCAGGTGAGGAGGCCTCTCCTGTCCCCTCCTGCTTTCTTCTGACAGTGGGCCCGAGACTGCCTGCCCCCACTCAGAGGGGACAGATGTCGGGAGAAAGCTGATTACTGTCAAAGGCTGGAGGCTGTGACCAGAGCTCACAGTGAGGGTGACCCAATTCCGAGCTATTCTCAGCCTGCTGGGAGCCGTGCTATTCCCTCCCGCCACACGCCACCTCAGAGGCAGCGACTTTGAGACGCCCTCGTCCCAGGCACAGGGAACAGTGCAAGGCGGCTAGGCCACAGCCAGGACAGGCCAGGGCAGGGGCCATGGCGGCCCAGTTCCGCCTGCTGATCACCCTCTGGGCCCAGCCTGACCCCACCCGCTGGTGGGCCACACTGGAGCAGCAGCCTCACTCAGAGCTCCGAGCCGTCCCCACTGCCAGGCCGCTTTGGGAAGCCACTTCTCTCAAGGCTGAGCCCTAGGGATGGCAAACGGCCCCTTCATCCTCCCCTGGCCCTGGCTCCCTGGCAGAAGTTGGGCATGGGATGCGAGGCCAGCACAGCTGCAGTAGGTGAGCTGCACGAGTAGAAAGCACCCTGCACTGGGCAGGCCTGGGGGAGCTCAGCACATGATGCCGGCCACCAGTCCCAGAGGGAGAGGTGCCTGGAGCTGAGCCCCGAGCCTGGACAGCACGCGCCCGCCCATTCATGAGCAGGGGAGCAGCAGCCCGAGCAGAGCAGACGCCATGCTGGGCTGGGGGACAGCGGCCCCATCGTGTCTAGCTGGGAGGTCAACTAAGGTGCACTCGGCCCCACCCAGCCCCGGCTGAGTCCTCCACTCCCAGCTCCAGCCGCACATAACTAGAAGCAGATGGCCTGGATTTCCAGAGAAGTCCTGATTGCAAATCCCCTCCTAATTCTGGTAACTATGCAAATGGCCCCAATGGTGCCAAAAACTACAGGCATCTCAAGGCACACAGGGAACCCCCCAGACAGAGCAGAAGTGTGCCCCCCAATTCCAGCCTTGGATTCTGAAGCAGAGAAAAAGCCTCTTGGAGGCAGTGGCTCCCACTAGTGACAGTAATCACAGTGGTATGTCTCAAGCCAGTGGCACTGAATCCTGCTGTGACAATCTCAGGCAGTACAGGCTGGAGCGGGCGATCCAGCAGCCCTGAGACTGAAGGGCAGTCATGTGCTCCTGACTGTCCCCCAAAACTCCACTGCCCATAGGGTCAAGACCAAACACCTGGCCCCTCTGTGACCCTGTGGCAGGAGACTTCATGTCCTTGACTGCTACAGCAGTGTCCCCCACTGTGTGCCTGGTCACACCTGGCTCTCAGGAGCCCCTCAGCAGGCTGTGTGCCAGGGTCTGCCACTTGGCAGCTGCCCTGTCATCTCTGGAGAAGCCCCTTGGGCTGTGAACCCCTCTGCTTGCTCACTCCATTTTGGGGCATGTGGAGCCAGACCTGGGGGGAAGCCCCTCTCCCAGGACCCACTTGCCTGCCACCCCCAGGCTGCGCTTGGGGCAGCCCGGCTGCCTCTGAGCCTATTTCTCCACCTGTGCAAGGGTGAGGTGGGGCAGGTCGGGCCCTCAGCCCACCTGCTCTGGGCACAGGCCAGGCTGGGGCTGCTGAGGAGTGAATGGGGAGGTTGAAGCACCAAGAGAGGCCTGCGAGACCTACAGACAGCTAAGGGGCAGGATGCGCCCCCCAGTAGCCTGGCATCCTCGGGGCCCTGGCTGAGGGCAGGACAGGTTAGGATGGGTCCCGAGGTCAGGAGCAGGTGAGCGAGGGTCTGAGTGCAGAGCCAGGCCCCAGGACACCCAGGTGTCCACCGCCTCCCTCAGCCACACTGGCAGGAAATGGGTGGGCACAGCAGTGGGTGGGGAGGAGGAGCTGCCAAGGAAAAACTGAGCAGTTTTCCTTTGAGGTGTCAGGCTGGACAGCGAGTTTCCAGCGCTGGCCCCATGATGAGCCCCGTGCTGCTGACGCCAGGCAGTGACCCTCAGGGCTGGCTGACTGTAGCTCACTGGCCCTGTATCTATGGGAGTCAGGCTCCCCATCTGCAGACCCGGGGCACATGGCCTCTGCCTCTCTGCCGTGGGTGCTCCCACTGGGCAACCTGTGCAGGTACTCAGGGCAGGACCTGGAGCAGAGGAGGGCTGTGTGGGATGCCCTGCCAGGGCGTGGGCAGGTCTGGAAGTGATTGTAGAAAAGGGACACGTGGCAGGGCCTTGAAGGCACAGGAGCCTGCGGCTGGGGCCAGGAGAGGGCTCCTGTGGGTGGAAGCTGGGTGACACTGGGCTGGGCATGGGCCAGCTGGAGGCAGTGGACACTGTGGCAAGCCCAACAGCACATCTGTCAGCACAGGCAGCCCAGATGCAGCCACCAGCTGTCCCCTGGGGCATGACGTTCTGTTTCCTCACTGCCTCTGCCCCTGCCTCACACAGGCCGACCTGGCGCTCCCTGGGGCTCAGTCAGCCCACCTGGACAGTGGGCAGGACCAGGGCCCTACACCTGAGACTCGCCTGTTCTGCAGCTGTGCAGGGCGGGCATCTCCTGCACCTCCACCGTGGGACCCAGAAGCCTCGGCAGGGCTCACAGGGCTCATGTTGAATCTGGCCCATCTTACAGGCCAGGCCAGGCCCCAGGAAGAGGGACACGCCCCTGGAGCAGGGCCAGTAGTTCTCCGACCTTCAGCAACTCTGAGGAGATACAGGCTTCCCTGGCCATGCCAGCTCCAGCAGAGGCGACTGGTAGTGTGACACCTCAGGAACAGGAGGCCTGGGACGCCCCTTCAAGGAAGGCTGGGGGGGCGCGAAGGAAGTAGGGGAGGGAGCCCTCACTGAGAGATTCATGCTCCCCCCACTCCAGGGACAAGGGCTCCTTTCTGCAGCATGTGGGGGTGGCCACACACTCACTTCTTTGTCTCGAGACCCAGGCCATTGTCCTGGAGTTTGGAGCCCCTGCAGCACCTACCCTGGCTGGAGTCAGGCAGGAGCCATGTGTGGGGAGGGCTGGCCAGGGAACCAGCTGGGAGCGGCTGCTCGGACAGCCACAGAGATCATTCGGTGAGGCAGCAGCATGTTTATTGTTCTGTCTGGCACACTCCAGCCAGCCCCACATGACATGGGGACACGGCACCTGAGGCTCCAGTCCCAACAGGGTCACGCAGGCTCCCAAGGCTGCCTCACGGCCTGACCTGGGCGCTGACCATACACCAGGACACTGGGTACCGGGCTGTGCAGCAGAGTGACTACCAGCGCCCAGCCCTGGGTCCTGGCTTCCATGTCCCCACCTTGGGATGGGCTCAGCCTTCAACAGTGACAAAGGTATGTCTGTGGGAGGCACTGAACCCTGGCCAACACCACTGTCTCTATGGGGGTCCTGCTCCTTGGCCCCAGGGATCCCATAAGAAGCAAGTCTGGGGTGACGCTGGCTGGGGACACATACCCACCCAGGCACTGCAGTGCTACGGGGTCTTCCTGACACAAGGGGGGGGCTCTGGTGGGCAGGGCTGCAGGATGCACTTCCTGGGGGTGGGAAGGGGCTGCCCCATCCCTGGGTCATGAGGCGACTCCCAAGGCCTGGGTACAGGGTCACCCACAAATGGCCTGTGCAGCACCCAAGGCGATGAGGTCAGCCTACAGGTCAGGCAGCAGGGTCACCTCCCCAGCACAGGAAGGACAGGGCGGGTCTGTAGCTCAGCTCCCCTTGGCTTCTGGCCAATCCCCAGGACACCCAGTGGTGAACACTTGGGCCAGTCCTGGGCTAGTGGCTGAGCCTTCTCTGCCACCCTCCTGCAGGGGCCCACAGGGGCAGGGGCAGACACTGCCACCCCAACTGCACCACCCCAACCTCAGCACCCAGAAGAGCCCACAGCAGTGTAGACTTCATGTTGGCAACAAACAGCATAGCCAGAGCTTGGCAGTGATGTGGGTGGAAGGCTCCCTCCCCAGGACAGGAGCAGCTAGCGCTCACACCAGGGCTAGCCAGGAACTGCAAGCCCCGCCCTGTGGCTGTTTCCAAGCCAGGCCCAGCAGTCCCCTGACCGTATAAGGCAGCCTGGCTCCCTGCCTGCCCGCAGTGCTCCCAGCACACAGTGCTCCCAGGCCTGCTAGCCGGGGGTCTTGGTGGCGAAGGTCAGGTAGCCTGTGTGGCCCACCGTCTCCTTCATGGGCATGCCACTGCGGAAGGGGCTGGCATCCTGGCCGGCAGGGGTACCCACACTGGCCCCCAGGTCAGGCAGGGGCAGGCTGATGGTGCGCACGTTGTAGACCTGTGGCAACACCTCCAGGGTACTCAGCTCCGTGAAGCCTCGGGCTGCCAGTGCCTGGCATGTGCGCTGCACCTGCTCGATGCACGGTGAGAAGGAGCAGAAGCGCCCACCTGTGGGGAGGACACAGGGGTCAGAGCCGCCCAGGGCAGTCTGCATACCCTGCATACTCTGGCCACACAGCTCTGAGGCGCAGGTTGGGGGCTCTGTGTGGGTCCTACAAGGGTCCCACCTGCTGGCCTGCCCTGTGCAGGAAACTTCCAGGGCCACCATGCACCAGGACCAGGTCTTAGCAGCCTCCGGTGGGCACTGCTGCCCTGCCTTCTAGGAGGCAGCCGAGGGCGGGGCCAGGCCTCCACAGCAGTGAGGGCGGGGCCAGGAATAGCTCTAACAGTACAGCAGCTCTGGGGCGGTGTGTGGGCTGCTGCTGTCACAGGAAATTAGAGGCTGCTGCTGGCTCTTGGGAACAGGAGGCACCTACCCTGAGCACAGCCGAGCCCCTCATACCACTCCCTAGTGGGCCTCGCTCAGCCCACCTGCACGGGCAAGTCTGGTCAGGTCCTCATCCAGGCAAGGGTCATGGAGTTGCCAAGGCAGAGAAGGTGTGTGCGCCCCAGCAAATTTGCAAATGTTCCTAGGCCTGGTCCCCCAGCACAGGGCTCCCCACAAGCACACACCACCCAGGCAGAGTCTGGAGTCACAGGCAAGCACACCACCAGAAAACACCAGGCGCACGAAAGGTCAAGAGCCTCATGACCCAGGAACAGGAAGATCCAGGGGCAGGGCCCAAGGGGATGGAGCTCACCGGGACACGGGAAAGAACAGCTCCTGAGGAAGGCCCAGGGAGAACTCTACCTGCATTAGCTGCCCTGGGCTGGGGGCTGGAACAGGGGACAGAAGTGTACAGGCAAAGCTGAAAGGGGAGAGGTGTGGGGATCCAGGGATCACAGGCTGCCCCTCTAGACCACCTCAGAGGGACCAGGGGCACAGACCCAGCAGGGCCTGGGCAGCAGGAGGCTGGGCCGTTCTGCCTCCTGGCCCCCTGCACTGCAGACCCTGGAGGGCTGGGGTGTGGCTGCCCAGCTGTTACTTCTCCAGAAAAGGCAAAGTCCCTGCAATTCCAGGGCTGCCTTCCTGGCTCCTGGCCGACCCGCCCCAGGCCTCCCCAGTGCTCCGCCTCCACACCCAGCATCTTCCCTAAAAGGAGCCAGCTGCCCAGCTCTGCAGCGCAGGGGGAGGGGAGGCTGCAGGAGAAAAGGCCAGGGCGGGGGTGGCCCTGGGACCTCCCATCTCAGACCCAGGCCCACCCTGTCCTACAGACCCTTCCTGAACTGGAACAGGACTGCTGCACAACCCCCAGGGGCCTTGAGCCTGACCGCCCCATCCCCGACTCCCTAGCCAGCATGACCTCTCCTCACCTCAGGCCAGAAGGGGCCTGGCCACTGCTACAGTGTGGCAGAGGTGCCCACACCTCCATTCCACCACTGCATCCCAGGCTGCACCTTGGCAGGTGCCCCACACACCTTCAACCTTGAGGGCATCCCAGGCGTGTCCCACAGCCTCCCAGGGTGACGGGATGTCCAGGAAGATGGCGTCGGCCACATGCCTCACACCGAATCCGCTGTGGCACACATCCTGGGTGTGAACAGTCACCCAACGGCCCACGCGGTGCTCCTGAAATTCCTCTCGGGCCTTGTCTGCCCGCTGCTGGTGGAACTCCACTGTGTGCAGATGGCCCGTGGGGGCAATGCTTCGGATGATGGCATGGGACACGGAGCCACTGCCAGTGCCTGGTGGGATGAGACAGGACAGGGTCCAGGGCTGCTCGCAGCCCACAGCCCTCCAGGAAACAGCTTCATCCCCATGAGGAAGGGCCTGCAAAGGGCCCCAGAGGCCAGCTGACCCCTGGGTCATGGGTAGGCGTCACCCCACAAACCACCTGTCTGCTCTTGGTGGCTTTGGCCCTGGGCCAGGACGCTGAGGCTGGGAGGAACAGGCTGTGTCTGGCGTGGGCACAGGTGAGGGTACACAGGCCACCACACAGGTTCAGCAGGGCTTAGGGGAGGCGAGTCAGGCAGAGCCACCATCGTGGTTTGGCTTTGGCCCTGACACCTTCCACACAGTGGATGACCCCTGTGCTTGGGTCAGCGTGTCCCCAGAGCCCCACCCAAATCTGCTCCTGCACACAGAGAAGCCCTTTGCTGGCCCTGCTCCACTTCAGGCACGTGGCTGACAGCCGACTCACTCCTCCTCCAGTGCCACCTCAGTGCCCCCACTGTGCCTGGATTCAGAGTCACCCTCCCCTCATCTCTGCACCCTGCAGTGCCCAGCTGGGCCCATCCCCACCACAGTGCCAGGTGCCAACTACTTGATGAGGACTCCCCACTCTGGATGCCTCGGAGACGCCTGTGGTAGCACCCACCACACTCATACTGCCCTCTACACCCCATGGCACTCAGCCCTAGAGTGTGAAGCTGGGCTCGAGCCAGCCCCTGGCTACTCCCTGAGAAGGCTTCCTGGACCCAGGCACAATACTCACTGCTCAGCAACTGCCAGAGGGGCCACAGCCGCCCCACAGCGGATCCACAGCGACTCCTTCCATGCCCACATCTCTCCAGGAGCAGACCCGCCCCCACCATAGGCCTTCTCCACTAGACACCTTGGTCCCATCTTGACACAGCCAGCAGCATCCTTTCCACCCTCTGCACAGCCAGCTGGGCTTCCTTTCCCACTGAGGGCAGTCAGACTCCAGATTATCCTCCGAGGGCCCCCTATTATCTCTCAACTTCATTTTCTGCTCATTTTCTGCCCTCACTTCCTGAATCAGCCACACTGGTGCAACTTTGCTGACCCAGCTTTGGTGGTATGTTCCCACCAAAAGGCCCACAAAAAGGGCTTTTGCCCATCTCTTCCCTGGCTCTTGGTAGTACCTCCTCATCACATTCAACTTCTTGGATGAAGTTCCCTGACTACTAGAGCTCAGCTAGAGGACCTAAGCTGCCCTCAAACATGGAGTGCTGTCTTCCAAGCTTGCCCACAATCCACAGCGCTGACATGGTGACCCAAGCTCACTCTCCAACCCCTCCCTCAGGGCGGGAACCTGGTACCTCACAGGAGCCTGGAGGGGTATGGCTGGCTGAGCAGCATGAAGGCCTGAGAAAGGCTCAGAACACACCCAGCTCTGAATCCTGCTCCCCACACCCTTGGTCCCTCAGAGAGGGGCAGAAAGAACTGAAGCCTCAGAAACCAGAAACAGGGGCCTAGGGACTCATGACCCCGCACCTAGCTCCACCTCCCATGAGGAACGTGGCACCACGAATCTAGCCACATGTAGACCCATGGTCATTCCTGGCAGGGCCGCATGTCTTGGCCACCACTCCTGGTGGCCCCAGTACATGCAGAGGTAACAACTGGCTTTCAGGCCCTCCTACCCCAGGCCCTACCATGGAAACTGTGGTGCTCGTCTTCCCTGGAGGCAGGTGGGCTCCTGGGTGCAAATGAGCACGGGGCAGGCTCCCATTACATGAGGCAGCACAGAACTAGAGGCGGTCAGCACCTCGGTCAGCACCAAATAACACTGGCCCCGCCCCATGGCAGACGGGACTTAATGGGGCACCACCCTCTCCTCCTCCACCCCGGGCACAGGCCACATTTCACTCACAACCCTACCTTGGGGGACCTCACTAAGTCACCTTCCAACGTGCAGTGCTGTGCTGTCTTATAAGCTTCCCACCGTCAGTAGCACAAGCCCTCACTCCTGGCAATTGGCCTCTGGAGAGATGCTGAAAAAGCAGAGCAGCCACACTGGCCTGCAGGAGGGCAGGTGCAGGCCATCTGCACCGTGGGTTTGGACTCCACCTTCGTGTCAGTTTCTCAGATCTAAGGTAGCCTGAGAACTTACCAGACTCACAGACCACAGAGCCAGGCCGAAGCTCCAGCATCATGGTGAGCAAGGCAATGTCGGTCGAGTAGAGGATTTGTGTGCGGTGCGGTAAGTTCAGCGTCCAGAGCTCAGGTGTGGGGTGCAGCACATACACCCAGCCACCTCGGCTGCAGATCACCTTGGAGCCGAAGGGGCGGCCAATGAGGTCTACTGAGTGCCGCAGGACGCCATGCCGGGTCTGAGTCTGCGCACCACGCTGCACGCGCACTGCCACCATCGAACCATGACCCAGTGACAAGATGGCCGTGTCACCCTCCTTGACCAGCTCTTCATATGCGACAAAGCTCATGGTGTTAATGTCTGCCAAGGGTCAGGGACCTGGGAAGCGACGTGTGGCCATAAGCCGGTCAGAGGGCCAAGCGGCAGGACGTGGGGCTGGGTTCTGGGCCGCAGGCTATGACACCCAAATTCTGCAGGGGGGCGGGGGTGAGTGGCTGGCTCCGGCCCTGGCCCTGCCTGATGGGGCAGCCCGCTGGGGCCGACGTTTGAAGCCCTTCTTGTTCTGGGACAAGAGATGGAGAAACAGGCTCGGCAACAGCGGAGGTGGGGCCCAGGGGCTCCCACAGACGCTGAATAGCCTGGCCCCACTCCCCAGCTGGGAGATGAGAGGACAGCCTTTGAGAGGCGCCCACCAGCGGGAAGGGGCCAACGGCCAGTGAGGTCACCTCCAAGACCGGCCTGGCTCCGCGGAACTCGACCCTAACATCCCCAAAGCGGGCTCGGCGGACTGGCGGCAGGGGGTTCGCGAGGGGGAAGGGGTCCCCGAAAGGGGACGGTGCTACGAGGCGCGTCCCAGGCGGACACGCGGGCCAGCCCAGGGGTCTGGAGGGGCAGCGCAGGGCCCAAGGCAAGGCCCTGAGGGCCGCGCCGGACCTGAGCGACCCGCACCCACGCGCCAAGGCTCACCTCACGCCGGCTCCGGAGGTCCACACGTGTCTTCGCTGTGCGCGACGGCGGCCACCACTTCCGGCTCCGGGCGCGCGCTGATGACGTTGCGCCCTGCGGACTCCTGGGAGCCGCGGAGCTGTCCTTCGCCTCCCCATAGAGGACATTTCTTGGTCTCACCGGTTGCCGTCCTCTGTTCATACTTGCGTGTTGCCTGAGACATCGGGCGACAGGACACAACAAAAGTCCCCCCCCCCCGCCAGCCCCGGTCCTGTCGATTTGCCCTGGACACGCGGCTCCTGCTGGGCAGACTGGCCTGGGGCAGAAGGCCCCACCAGGGCCTACCGGGACTACTGGCCGTGATCATTTTGTCACTGCAAACGGCTGTAAAAACACCATGTGGGCTCCAGGATGAATCCAAGAAAGTGGAATCGCAGGGCCGGCCGGGATGGGGGATCCCCAAAGCTCGTGGCCAGGGTTAGCCCGAGGTGCCACAGAGGACAGCCTGGAGCTGTCTCCTCCAAGGGTCCTAGGCCAGGCCCTGCCTCACCACAGGCGCACACTCCCGAGTGCAGGGCTGCTTGGGGGTGGGAGGTCCCGAGCCTCCTGGTACCCTGGCACAGTGAGAACGGGACCAGGATGGGCTCCCTTTGGAGCTGTGGGAGGACTGGGCAGAAAGGGAAGCAGGAGCGTTGTCTGTTCAGAGCAAGTTCCTCCGTGGCCCGGAGTGAGCCCCAGGGCCTGGCTTGTCCTGTTAGCCACAGGGACTGGAGGGGTTGGGGACCTAATTTGCCCAGCTACCCAAGAACCCAGGCCAGCTAGCGAGGATGCTGGGCCACACTCCCAGTCCCCGGGGCTACTCCATCCTGGTAAAATGAGGATGGCGGGACCCCTGCAGAACCACCCCTTTCTGAACACTGCTCACTCATGAACACTCCCTGCTTGGGCCAGGCTAGCCCTGGTTCGTGGGTGCGGCCCTTGGGCCGGCTCCTCAGGGTCTGTGGTAGAAGGCAGGTGCCTGATCCTAGCCCCATCGATTCCCGGGCACTGGCTGGACGTGAGTCTGAGGCCCCAGGAAGTCAGATGTTGGGGACTCAGGCAGTCTCCCACTCTGGGCTCATGTCCCTGTGGGTCACCAGAAGGGACAACCCTGCCCTCTCCACACTCCCAGCCTCTGTTCTGACAGACAGCTCCCCTCCCTAAATAAGCTCTGATTGCTCCCATGGGATCTAGACTTTCCACTTCTGGGAGTTCCTCTTCCCCAGCTTCTCAGCTGCTTCAGGGAGACAGAGAGCAGAACCACTGCCTGCTACGAGCCTGAATCAGGACCTGATGACTCAGGGGTGGTTTCCCTGGGACCCCACTTCACATTTGTCTCTCTCCACTCTGGGCTGGTCAGCTGCCCCTCCACTGCCCCTCCTCCAGGCAGCCTTCCCAGAGCTTCCCACCTAGCCCCCAGCCTGAGTCCTCAAGCAGAACCAGCCCCCTGGCTTCAGCTGATTACCAAAGGGGCCCCTTTCCCAGGGAAGAGTTTGTACACTGGAGCTCTCCTAAGAACTAAGACTACATGTGTCCAGCTCAGTGTTAGCTCACTGGGTCCTCCTCACAGACCTATGTAAACTTGGCTTCAGAACACCAACACCACAATTGAAGAAAGGGCGAAAAGGAAGAGAGGAGGCCTGGGAGGAGGGGGGAAGCTAAAGATGCTTTAGCACTGGGAGCTGTACCACCACACACCTGGCAGGGACTGGGTGACAGAGGGTGCCTCCCTCCTCCAGGCTTGGCATGGCTTCCTGCTGCATTGTGTCCTGTGGCCTTGGGGCAGCCCCTACCTCTCTCCTGACCCCAACAAACTTCCCCATTGGGTTCTGCAGCGCCTGGGACAAGACAGTCCAGAGAAAGCAGTGCCTGCTGGCTACAGCCTGGAAACCTGGCCCTGCCTTGCTCAGCCTAGACTTGCCTGCACCTGTGCCTGTGTCCCTCAGCTGAGCCCTGCTCCACAGATAAAAGACCTGGGACTCCTTTGAGGGCCCTTCCAAGTCCTATGGTTAATGTGCAACCGGCTGGAGTTCTTGAGAAGCCTGGGCCATTAACCAACTGGCCTGAGATGTCATCCAGCCTCTCATCCAGATACCAACAAACCAGCAGAGGGGACATAGTGTGGGACAAGGGTGGGTCAGCAGAGGGGAGATGCTGCCAAGAGGGAGCCCAGCCCTCCCCAGGCCTCTCCTCTGCTCCCCTTTTCTGGAGCCTCTGAGGCTCCCAAGCAGTCTCTGCCTGGGAGAGACCTCATCTTGATATAGAGGGCCTCAAAGGCCACTTCCTCTTCCCACCCCTGCTGCCACCACCCTGCCTCGTGGTTCTTTGTGTGTGCAGGGGTGGGCAGCACAAGATCCCTGAGGGATGGGTGGCCCTGTGGCCCAGCACCTCTCTCACCAGGCTGCTGATCTTCCTATGAGGTAGCTGCAGAAAGAGCCCAAGGACTGGCCTTAGAAGGCTGAGGACTGCTGAGGCCCCACACAGGACCCTGTCCCTGGGCCCCTGCTGGGCGGGGCTCGCTGCTCCCCTGATGTTGGGGGTGAGCCCTCAGCCGGGCAGCTTAAGCTCACCTGCAATCCAGCCCTTGCCTGTGGGAAGAGGGTGGGGAGGGAGGAGGGATCTCAAGAAGCCTCAAGAGCTGGAGACAGAGAGACCAGCCACACCCTCCCCCCAGAGTGCCTCCTCTGTTTCCACAAACAGTAACTTGAGCAGGGCAGTCAGGGCTTTGGGTCAGGGTAGTGGCCAGCTGCAGATCTTCCTCAGGTCAGGAAGGGGCTGGGGGCCCACAGTGTAGACATTCCAGGCTTAGGTGACACCTGCTGTCTGGCCTGGGCCTGAGCCACTTGGCTTTTTATGACCCTTTGTTTTATTGGTCCATGACTTGCTGACTTGGAAGAGGTTGGTGCAGGTCGAGTGAATGAGGGGCAAGGCAGAGTCCACCCTGCAGCAACCACGGGGATATGGGCAGGCCACACCTTGCCCTTGGGCCTTTGCTCCAGGGCCCGGTGCTCACAGTACCTGCCCATTGGCTTAAGCCCAGAATGCCTGGGTTCCTGTCCCCTACTTCTGGAGATGCTTTTGTCCTACTGTCAGTCCCTGAGATGCTTGGCAGCTTGCTCAGGTGCTGTCTCCAGCAGCAGGACATGGGCTCTTTCCCTCTTACTGGCTGCCACCTTGTCCCTAGCACCTGTCACCTGGCAGAACTTGGAGCAATGCTGGAAGAATTTTGTTAAACATACACAGAGATAAGGGCTCCTCCTCCTGCTTTATTTACATAGCAACATACACAAGGCTGCAGGTGGACATTTGCCACACAAACTCACTGTTTTCTTTTTTTGAGAGCATATAATATTCCACCGGGGAGAGATGCCCCCTACCTGTGGCCAGCTCCCCATGGACGGGCTTCACGCCCTGTCCAGACCCATTCCTTTCCTCCACTGTGCATTTCTGGATCTATCTGCAGTGAGAATGGATACTCTATAGGCAGCATTCCTGGAAGTGGGACCGCTGGGTCATGGAGTTGGATATTGTTAAATGTTAATAGATAGATACTGCCAAATTCCTTTCCAAAAAGGAGAGAGCGATGCATAGCTGCCGGCAGGGCTTGAGAGCCTGTCTCCTCCTGTTCCAACTCACAGCCAGTGCTGGCTGAGGGTAGGGGGTCAGTCTTTTTACTTGTTTGCCAGTCTGGATGTGGGGATAGAAGATAGTCATCTTGGTCTTCATTTGCCTGAACCTGACAGTGAGGTCATGTCTAGAAAGCTCACATGTCTGTACTTCTCGCTGGTCTCTGCCTCCAGCCTCTGCTTCTGCTGGCTGGGTGGGTACCTGTGCCCCGAAGAGGGGACCCGCAGTTGGTGGACCCGCAGTTGGTGGCCCCTCACGGCACAGCGGCTCCCAGGGGCAGCTGGGCTGGAGGGTCCCTGGCCGGGTTCCCCAACCCCCTCCCCAGAAGCCCAAGGTCAGGGCACTTCGAGCGCCACGGGGCTGTGGGCAGCGACCAGCCTGCGCCTCCCTCCCTCCCGCGCTGAGCCAAGAACACCCGGAAGATGCCTGCGGGCACCTTGAGGAAGGTCGGCGGCTTCAGCCCGGCTGGCAGGGTGAGGTGAGGCAGGACCTGCGGCAGAAGCTGCCGGAAGGGCTCAGTCGCCTGGTCCCTCGCTGCAGCCCCCTGGGGGACTGGGGTGGCCGAGGAAGGCGGCACTGGGGCGTCCTCCAGGGCTTTCGGGCCTCAGTTTCCCGCCCGCAGGAGGGGTGTGTGTATTTGGGGAGGGGACCCTGCATGTCCAGCAACCTGGGGCTGCGGCTTCGGGTCCTGGGCGGGGTGGCTGCGCGGGGACAGATGGGGTGGGCCGCCGGTGGGGTGTCAGAGGCTGCTGGCGGCGGACAAAGCGGAGGCACCACCCCGAGCACGGGCCAATGGAATGAATGGGCTATAAATATCGGCCAATGGGCGGCCCGAGACGCGCCCCTTAAGAGCCCCGGGAGCGCAGAGCGGCGGCGTTCGCCTGCGTCGCGCCGGATCTGCAGACGGACGAGCGCCCCCACCCGCAGCGCCGGTGAGCGGGGACCCGAGGGCGCGGGCGGAGGGCGCGGGCGGAGGGCGCAGCGTCTCGCGCGGGTGGGCGCAGTGCGCGCCCCGGTGAGCTCTGGGCCCCAGGGGTCCGGGCGGGGCGGCGCCCCCGCTGAGAGCCCCCCGACCGTGGCCTCGTCCCGAAGCCCGGCAGGGCCGCTGACCCGCGCCTCCCGCACGCAGCCCTCCGCCGCCATGCCCTTCTCCAGCAGCCACAACGCGGTGAAGCTGAACTTCCCCGCCGAGGACGAGTACCCCGACCTGAGCTGCCACAACAACCACATGGCCAAGGTGCTGACCCCCGAGCTGTACGGCGAGCTGCGCGCCAAGAGCACGCCGAGCGGCTTCACGCTGGACGACGTCATCCAGACCGGCGTGGACAACCCGGGTGCGCCTCCCGGCCGGCCGCCCCCACCCTCGGCCCGGCCCGCCCCTCCCCCGCCTCCCGCGCCCCTTGCGCGCAGCCGCTGGGCCGCCCCGCAGCCTGGGTGACGTCACCCCCTCCTCCAGGCCACCCGTTCATCATGACCGTGGGCTGCGTGGCGGGCGACGAGGAGTCCTACGACGTGTTCAAGGCGCTCTTCGACCCCATCATCGAGGACCGACACGGCGGCTACCAGCCGGGCGACGAGCACAAGACCGACCTCGACCCGGACAACCTGCAGGTGCGGCGGCCGGGTCGGCGCCGGGGGCGCCGGGGGCGCCGGGC